TTATACTTTCTAGTCAGCTTGCAGTTGAGGCATAATTTTTGCACATACCCACTTGCATTCAACCTTTCTGCACTTTTGGTGGTTCATTGCAGTATGTTTGGAAGTAGCTAAACTTGTGCTGGTATGAAGAGGCTGGCCAGCAAGTCCTAGGAATAACACAGATGTCAGCAGCACCCAGCTGGCTTGACCCAGCTCATCCATACCTTCCGAATATGCCTTTAGAGGTAGAGACACCTGCCTGTATGGGAGGTATTAAATGGTGCTAAAGAGAGGCTTGAAATTGGCCTTACTGAGGAGAATGGCTTTGGAATGGTGTCCTGGTTGGGCACCTCTGTATGTCAGGATACCTGCTGGATAGAAAAGCTTGTCTTCAGAGTGGAATGGCAACATGGACAGGACTGCTGCTAAAGGCTGTGCTGAAGGTCCAGGATATGATATGTGCTACCTGCTTACTGAAAGAAGAGGTATGTGAGGTGGGGACCAGCCTACTGAAATGCTGCTTAGAGCTTCTGCGAGCTCGGACCCTGTGATCCAGAAAGACCAAATCTGAATTTTGATGACTTTTATAGCTTGGAGAGATGTAACCTGTAGCCTTTCTATGTGGAGCTGCTTGCAATCCTATTCTGATAAACTTGGTTTCTAATAACAGAGTAATTTTAAGGCTGTTATAGTAAATATAAGCAGTGAAGATCTTCCAGGTGACACTTATGTAATGTTTGCACTTTAAAAATAATGTATGGATTAGAAAGAACATATTAGTTCAAACACTTTGGAGTCATCTGAGACTCAGTATCATGATACTTTTGAAATAACAAGGGCTGTCTGTGATATTCTGGCAAACCTTTCCTTCCCTGATCCTCATTTCATAGCTCAGCTGTATCTCAGCTGTCATGATTGTAGCCTATGCAAAGAGGCTAATCAATAGCCAGGGGAAACAGACTGAAAGGTCTCTGGAACAGCCTGTAATGCTACTAATCTCTTAGAATAAGGACCCAATTTTGAAGATGTATACAGCTGGAATAACTGTTTGCTCCAGCAAGTTACTCTGCATTTCCATCATTTGAATGATTCCCCTTATATTCACGGGTGCTTCACCAGGCAACACTACTGTGCTTTATAAATAAGAGCACATAACAGACAGTGATTTTATCCTCATGCTCTCTTATGAGGACTTTATTTTCTATTAAGTTCAAAGCAGTTCTGGATAGGTAAAAGCTTTGTGCTTCAGATTCATTTTTTCTTTATGCCACTGAAATTTTTCATCCATATCAAGTCATTGTCCCTCTCCAATTCTTCCCAGCCATCTCCTTTAGCTGCTCCTTTGTACTTCAGTCAACGTGAGCTTCATCAGCTCAAGCATGTTAAGAATTAACCTGAGAGCAAGTATGCTATGAAAATTTCCATTATTTCCTGAGAGAAGCATCCATCAGAAAAAAAAAAAAAAAAAAAAAAAGAAAAAGGAGAGAGGAAGGAATCAAGTGTACACTGGGTAAAACAGGGAAACAGACAAGTGGGAGAGTGTGAGGGGAAGATTTGTTAAACTTGCATTCCACTCAGTGGAAAGAGAATGCTGCCAAGACAAGCTGTAACTGAAATCAGCATACAGTGCTTTGGGATGGTGATTGTCAGTCTGCTATTTCCCATTTTGCTTAATTTTTAATCCAAATTGTGTTCTAAAAATAGGGAGCATTTCGGAGCTGAAAAGATGGGAGTAGCAGAAGGGGGGGAAAGCAGAATGTGCAGGAGGAATGCTGCTGTAGCTGAAGCAGCCCCATTGGGATTTCTAGCTCTGTAACTCAGTTGGTTGTGGTTACAGAACGAAGACTTACCTTATCTGGGCCATTGCGGCTGGAGGCACTGTGGTAGTCCCTCTGTAAAATAAATGATAAGTCATAGCCTGCGAACAGAGAGGGATGGTTACATTCCTGTTTGGACAACAGTAACTGGAATAAGTTATGGAATATGGGCAAGAATTCACACATCCTGTTCCTACCTAAGTAATGTTTCTATAGCTTCTGCCATTCTTTTTTGCTTTTCATGTGTCTGAAGAGATTTGTACTGCTAATTATTAATAGCAGGAAGTTTTTACAGAAGTGCTGGAGTCTCCTGTTTTCAGTTAGCATTGCTTCAGCATGGCTAGTTTGTCCAGGATGGGAAAGCCAAGAGATGTCTATCTGGATAAGACTGTGAAATCTTTGTTTATGCATTAGTCTCCTCTCCAGAGAAGACTGTGGAATATCTTGCCTGAAGTCCCAATTCAGCATCTGTTCTGAACAGGCCCCCTTAAAAGCCAGAGCAATCTCCTCTAGGCTAAGCAAGAAAAACAGCTGGAGGGGGGAAAAAGAAAAAGCAGAAAAAACCTTATATCATCTGTGAACAGATGTGTCTCCAAAGTCCTCCAGCACAAGTGTATGCATGTGGTGCAGGAAGTACTGATTTCAGTAGCCTTCAGAGGTTCTGCTGCCTCCTCTGACTTCCATGCATTCTGTTGAGACTGTTACTTTTGGCTTTCCTCAGAGCAGCAGATTCTGGATGACAACAATGCAAAACAGGAAACTTTCAGAAATTCAGATTTGTTTTGGGTCCAGGACCCAAAATTTAGTGATCTGCATCATAATCTCAAATTCCTGCCTAATTTTTGTGGACCTTTACTGAAAGGAGTGTGGGAACGGTTAAGTCAGAGCCTGAACCACTAATTGAGCACCTGGGGAAAGGACCTGGTCAGCCCTGGCAGCACAGGTGAAGGCAATTCAGCTGTGTGACCAGAGCCTGGCTGCACCTCTCTTAGACTTCATTTAAAGGCTGACAGCCACTGGGAAAGGATCCCTTCTTGGAGATCCTTGGTGAGGCTTTCCCCTGTGAGCCTCTAATCCTCTGATATGGGTGAGCAATCATCTTACCTTACATTATAGCACCTCTCTGTTGTGCCAGTCCTTCAGTTACTGCACCTTTGTTGTAATACCTTTCCCATTGTATTGATCTGTCCAATTGCTACAAAAGGCTAAAATGCATTTAAATTATATCACTTCAAATTTTTTTTTTTTTGAAAACTGCTAAGTCCCCCCTCCTTTCCAGAGGGTGGGAGATGTGAAGCTTACTTAAGTTTCTCCAACTGTGCCCAGATAGAAGAATCATAATACCTTGACAAGCCAGCTTCTTCCTTAGAAAATGCTGGCTCACTTAAATAGATCACAAGGTATTTTAAAATCACACTCCATGTGTTTTGTTTTCTGCCACTTTTAAAGCTAATAATCAATTTTTGCTGAGAGTAACCAGGGAAAGCAAAAGGGATTTAAGTGCCTAAGTCACTGGACCACAGCTTTCTAATTTATGATGACAGTGATAGAAACTGGCTACTAAGAAGCTCCCAGATACACCACCTGATGTCTGCTTTCAGATCCTGTTTAACTTTTTAAAAATCTAGTCCCATAAATGTTAGACCTGAGTGGAGTACTCAAAAGCCCTCTGTTGCACTGTCAGTTGAGGAATTGGTTTTCTTCTCGCAGAGTGCTTAGAAAAGTGGGTTGTGGTTTTATATATATATATTTCCTTCCCTAAAGTGACAATAATTTTGGAATTACAATCAGCTCTAAGCACCCAGGGCTCAATGGGGATGCTTTCTTTCTAAGAGGAAGGGATCGAATCCAGCTGAGCACTGAGCCAGGCAGGGGCTCTAGAAGGCAGTGGACTGTGTCCAGCCCTGGTGTGATGGACTGCTGGTGCCTGAGCTACAGCGTGCACTACAAACCTGATGTGATTATGCCCTTATCATGTTCTGAAATTCATATATGTCTTTATAGCTGAATTGGTTCCCAAACATGACAGTCTCTCTTGTCTTTTGTCGCTGCTGGGTAAAAGACATCGGGGACAATTGGAAGCAAATTACTGGTGTGGCTGAAACTGAGCAGTCAGCCACAAACTGAGCTTAAAGCTGTTCCAGCTGTAACCTGCTTCCCAGAAGCTGCTCTGCAGAGGTGTGTGTTTGGACCATACTGCGTGTTGTCTGTGTGAAAGAGTTCAGCAGGGCTATGTGTGCTCTGTCTGTTCTCCTTGCCATCCCTGCAGCTTGACTTCTGCAGGTGAGTGCTGGAAATCTTAAACCTTCCAGGGCTCAGCCCTTGTAAATGAGAGGAAGTTAAAAGAAGACGACCCTTGCGTCTTTCACTGAAAGAATTCCCAATCAGGTCTGAAGTTCACCACAAGCGGTGGAAAATTAGCCTGCTGTGTGCTGCAAAAATCACCTGGAGCAACTGCTCCTCATGGAGCCAGAAGTAACTCCTGATATCCTGATGACACAGTCCTTTAACACTCACAGAGTAGTTTTTATCTTCTAAGCATTGTGAATATTAGCTAATTAATCCTCACAAAGCCTCAGGGAGTTACAGAGGTATTGTTATAAGCTGGGGCCAGGGAAGCATTTCAGTTGTCATTGTGCTTCGTGCTGTGGCTACCGCTGGCATCAGTTGGGGCAGGGATTAACATGTTACAACTAAAAAGCACTCTCCTTTTGTCCCCCAGTGATTGACAGTTCGGTGAGGCTCTCCACAGAGCAGGAGAACCTGGGATGCAAAATTAAATGGGGCTGTGTCCTCCCAGCCTAGAGCAGTGCTGCCAGCTGCAGCCACTGCCTGTTACCCAGTGGCTTCGGAGCTGCACCTGAGGAGCTGCGGCACTGCTGAGCCTCTGGTGGGGCTGCGCAATGCAACGCCCAGAAACCCAGTGCCAGCTCCTGCAGGAGCCTTTGCCTGCACACCTTAGTAGAAGGCAGAAATAGCTCTGTAGGAGTGGCACGTGCTGCAATTGCACTACAGAAACTGGAGCCCTTTCTTGCTGTGTCTTCCAGAGCCCTATTAGCAGGGGGCAAGCAGCAGCCTTGGAGCATCTTGCTGCTCTGATAGAAAGGAAATATGTTCCTCTTTAGCATAGATAAGGACCATCTGTGCATGGCTGAAATGAGATAACATTTAGAAACCTCCCAGGATAGTAAGGCTGCACTTTTCTTTGGTGTTTCATGCTGTTCAGGCTCATGGCAGTGCTCCCTTTGAACTCTGTGGTTTGTAGTTCTCACCACTTGATCAGAATGAAGTGGAATGCAATGGTTTGTCTATACTGTGGCTCAGGAACAGTGTATGTAACAGGACCTGTGCTGATATGAACCAGTTGATGCTTGGACATCGCTGCATGGTCTCCCAAAGGTCTGACATGTATTTTGCTGAGTCCTTCCATCAATGAAACCTGTGCTGCCTGCTTCTAGATGGTAAGTTACATGGAGAACTGTTTTATCTGTGGGCAGGGCACAGTGCTTTCTGGACTTGTTATCAGGGCTGAGACATAGCACTGGGAGCTTGGGGATCTGCATGGAAGCTGCTGTAGCAGATACGGTTTTTGAAACACAGCTTGAACTGGCTGCGAGGCATCATTTTTCTGCACCATTGAAAGCCAGGCTGTATCCTAAGGACTATTTGTTTTACCTAATGCATCTCTACCCTATTTATGGTTTCCCTAATATCTTACCTAAATCTCTCAAATTGTCACTGTTGCAATTATATGCTTGTCCATTACTTCTCTGCAATTACTTCCTGTCCAATCTGTCACAGACATTGAAATTACTTTATTTCCTTTCTCTTCACAACAATCTGGATTCACTGAAAGGATGCTGTTGAGTCCCCACTCAGATTTCCTTTCAGTTTAAGCAGCCCCAACTCATTCAGCTGTAATTTCTGGCTGGCTGATTTTGCTTGTTCCTCCCATCTGATGTGTCCCTGATTGCTCTGTGTCCACCTCTGGATGTACTGGAGATATTGCCTCACTGTGTTGAAGCAGGCAGGATTACCTCATGTGTGTTACCCCGTGAGAGATTTGTTTTCTGGGTGTGTCAGTGCTTACTGGGGGCCTGGGAGAGGCATGGACCCATGTGTCAAGGGGGGGAAGAGGGATGGCACAGCACTTTGCAGCCTGCAACAGAGATTCAGAAAACATTTCTCATCCTAGTTTCAGTTCTTACCTCTTTCATTATATTGAGTGTAGTGGTAAAGGAGATCTCTAGTAAGAGATCTTTTCTGTCTTCTCAATTGAGTAATGCCAAAAAGCAGTGGTGTTATTAATGCTACTATAGCTGTACTACAAAGCTTATTCCAAAACTCAGGACTCCACCAAGTGAAGCAGATGTATTGTAATGAGTGAATCATGATGAACTGTAGAAAAAGGGGAGTTCAGGATATTTGGCTGAAAGACTGAAGGTCACATACAGGTCAGTAGGAGACTGAATTGTAAGATGTTAACTTTTGTTCCTTCAGAAAGCAAATAATGTAAGTCCAGTTGAAAGACAAGACAGTAGCCTTTTGCAGAAAGACAAGATGAACTGAACAGCGAGATTCAGGTATGCAGAAGTTGTAACCAATATCCTGAACCTTGCCAAAGGGAGTTCTGTTGGTAAGTGGCTTGAATCTGGCCAATCTTTATTTGCAAATGAAAGCAAAGGTATGTTTTGACAGAGAAAGTGTGTGTGTGTGTGGGAGGGGGGAACCAAAGAAAAAGGAAGGGGAAATTGCAGAAAGAGAGAGTGAAGTGTCCTGGCTTGGGCTGCAGTAGAGTTAATTTTCTTCCCAGTAGCTAATTAACTCTATCCTTGCTGAAACCAGGGCACACAGACTGCTTAATTAAAACCTAAGTGATGAATGATGTCCAGGAAACTTAGCATTCTGGGAAAAATAGAGGGGATCTTGATGAGGGAGTAATCTCAAAGTGTGAAGTTTTTATTCCATTTTCCCAGTGCTGTCCAAAGAGACTCTGATAAACACCTCTGTTTACACTTGTTGCTCTATGTTATGAAATGAATGTATTTTTAGTAGTGTAAAACAGTGTGGAAGGGAAGGTGATTTTGTTTTAAATGTTTGGCCAGTCCCAGCTGCTCAAGGTCTTAAGTTAATGTATGTGTGCACAAAGATTTCCTGTGTGTGCCATACCCGCTAGGGACAGAAGACACTGACCTATGGAGCCCTTAATATGTCTCTTGTTAGGCAGTGACAAGCTGCCTTTGGTAAGTCCTTGTATAATCTCTAGGAATATTGCCATGGTGTAATGCTCCGGCCTCAAACCTTGCTCAGTCCTTGCTACAGAGATGTAAAGCAAGATTTCTCCCCTTTGTTTTCCCATTTTGAAATGGTTGTCCACTTTCCTTCTGTAGGACAAGAGGAGAATGATGGCAAAAGAGTTTGGTATATTTTTGCTCCCACCTTCCTCTTATGAAAGAACAGGACATCTGTGGGAGAGTTATCCCTGGTGGGGGACTTGATGGAGAGTACCAACCAGTCTTTGTGTGAAAACACTCTGCACTCCTCAGCACTAACCTGTGATCTGCATCCTTGGTAATCAACGGGATATTCTTTTAATCCTTGCTCTCGTTTCTTTTGGTGCTGTGGCACAGGTGTTTCTATTTATGTCAGACAGATTAATCTTAATGTCACAAATGCCTGCATAGTTGATGTCCTCAGCCAGAACCTTGCAGCTTGAGAGATGTGTCCCCAGCCCCCACTAATCCAGTTGAGGATGGAGGGAGGAGCCTGGTACACCCCAAATACACCTCTCTTCCGACTTAGGAAGACATTATTGCTGCCAGAGTGCACACTGTCCATTCTTTAACCAGACAAGACTGGATAAGAAAGGTGTATGGATGGTTTATACAGGCAAGACAAGGGACAAAAAATGTTGGTAGGTAACAGTGAAAGTTCTTACTAAAAAAAAAAAAGCTGTAGAGAGAAAAATGCTGGTCTGCTTTATCAGTTCAGATCTCAAGCTGTTTCAGCACTTCCTAGCCCTAGAAACTGGCTTCCTCCTCAAAGCTCCTTCCCCCCCAGGTGTGCTCTGGGGTTGCCTCGAGCTGCTCCCCTAGGCAAGGAGGTGAGCCCCTTTTCCTGATAGCCAGGAATTTTATGTTAAGGGTGTGGTGGTAAGATGTCATAAATTGCAATCATTGAGGTGAACAAAGGCACTTTACTATCACTTCATTGGAGTTGCACTATCCTTTTTATGCTGAACTTCTTTTTAAAGACCAGAAATGATGTGACCGTTAGATAAAGCATCCATCTCTGTGTATCTCTACAGTTAATTTAAGGGTGACACTCTTAGCCAGGTCCCTTCAGGAGGAAAAGGATAATACACTATTAAAGTTGCAATTACTGCATTAGGCTTGAAATGTAAATCCGTATACCAGCTGTTATAATCTAGCAAAGAAGGAGGGGGAAGTCTGGCAAATAGTTCTTGTGGGCTTTTATATAGCTGCTCATAAGAGTGAAATTAAATGAATACATGTGTATGTGTGTACAGCTAGATTTATAGACTCTCTTTAAAATGTAACCACTTCAGGTCCTGCTGAAGTAGCAGAAAACAAGCTGGGATTGTTCCACCTGCATAACTGGCCTTCAGCTTCCCCATGTTCAGATATGCTTTGCAATGCCAGAGGGACTCACCTATGCCTCGAGCTCAGCTGTTTCTTGGGGCAGATGTGGGAATTCAGAGGGTTGATCTTTGGAGCACTGCAAAGCAGGAAGGAAGCTAATACTGCAAAGAGTATTTCCTTTGGCAAGTGCAACCCCCTTCCCTGTGCCAGAACCCCTCTGTGAACCAGAGCCTTCAGGGCAGCAGTACTGGCTGCAGCACAAAGCCATGCTTAGTAGCTGTGATTTTTTTTTTTGTGTATTTTTCTCTCCTTTAGATATGGCTAGATCTCTAGCAACCTACTGTAGCTTTGCTACAGCTTTGCTCTGCTTGCTTCAGCAGAGCTTTGTCAATTTGGAGTAGCTGAGGGCGTAACACTTAGTCCAGAGAGATGAAATGCTTTGTTCAGGTACCAGTACCTTATTGGAGCTGGGAACAGCACACACGTGAAATGTTCACAGTAAGAGCTTATCTTCATGTGCTACTTGCTACCAGAACAGTCTGGAGATCTGCAGGAGGTGCCCTTCAGTAGCTGAAATGGTACAACTGCTTTTTCGGTGATGAGAAATAACATTTCTGAGCTCACCAAGTACATATCTTCGTATTCTGGAAGGAATCACCCTGCCTTTGGGTACCCTGTGATTTAATTTCCTTTAGTTTTCAACTTTCCTTCTTACTACAACTGTTCTGTTACCAGCCTTTGCTTTTTCATATAAATACAGCTAATTTCAGTTTTTTGAAGTCATCCTGCCTGATATTCCTACTCTTTGCTGCCTGGTGATACTTCCTAAATTTGTGACATCAAAAAACTTTCTTAATATCAATTTATATTTTAAATTTAACTTTCTTTTTGCATATACTTTTAATGAAAATGTTGTACAAGAGCAGTCCTTGAATGGTACTTTTTGTCCCTCCTTGTGTGGAAAGCTCTGTTGGTGTGATCCTTTCTTTTCCATCAAAGCCTGCTGTCCTGTTGCTCTGGCCTGATCGCTGCCTATTGCATAGTTGTGCTGTGAATTGCACAGGCCGATTTAAATAGTAAATTACGACATGATGCTATTGTGAACACTGTGCTAAAGTCCAAATAACTGTAATTTTCTTTTTTTTGTTGTTTTCCCTTTGGGGATAAATAGCAGATAACTTCTGGTAAGCTCAGACATTTTTTTTCCCCCACATATATTTTAAAATTATCCTGGCAAAAGGATGTACAGCTGCCTGGATAACTTTTCATTTTCCCAGTGTAGTTGTTACCTGTGTTGTTTTCTAGGAAGCCTGTGCCCCTTTATGGTGGTATTCAGTGTCCTAGTTGCTCAGAACTGAGAGGGCGTTCATCCCCTGCTGGTCCATTCATCCCCATCTAAACAGCTAGCACTTCCAATTTCTCTTCCATTATCCATCCTTTAAATATAGTCTATCCTCCATTAAATTCAGTATCATCTTATTACAGAAAACAGAAGTATCCATTTATGTTTGATTCTCTCTGATCTTTACATCATTCCCATCAGTTCTGTGTTTATGCCTCAGTCTACTTTTATTTATATAAATTAGGAGCCATTTGTTACTTTAATTTCCTTTGCAATGCTTCACTTTCAGCATTTTCCACTGTGTTTCTTTGCTCTCTGAGCTCCAAGTCAATTTTCCTATCTTATGCTTCTCCCTTTCCATGGCATGTATGTGCTCAGATTGCTTGGACTTAGTGACCAGTTTGGCTTTGTTTTGAGGTATGAGGTTTTGTGGCAAGAAACATGTCCCAAATGCATTGGCCCCATCCTTTGGTGGTTGTGGCACTGTGAGTGGGGTCATTTCCACTACTTGGAGTGTGACAGAGGAAACCAGAGCTTGGCAGTGCCTTAGATTTTTGCTAGGAGATAAATAGGTCAACATATTTCAGGACTGCACTGGCAACCTGGTATGTCTGATCTCTCTGTGAGTAATAGCCATTTTGAAGTGATTATTCATCCTGTTAGATCTGAAGTATTTCTCTAGAAGTGTTGTTTTTTTGCCCTTCTAACTTAGGAGAAGGTTTCTTTGATCTGAATGTCAAGTCCTTTTTAAATTGAAGTCCTTGAGTTATTTGGTCAACTTATTTTCACTAGTTGTTTCCTGGTAGTTCAATAAATAGTAGCAGATCTATTTTTGTTGATTCTTTGATTTAATTTTAAGTGAGCCAGCCCATGCTTGTTCGCTGCAGAATTCTTGTCTATGATTAGCTCTTGCATGATGTATTCTCTGCTCGCCGAAACCAGGTCTTAAATGCAGCTCTCTGTAATCATAGAATCGCAAGGTTGGAAACGACCTTCAAGATCATCTAGTCCAACCATCGAATTGACTCCTTGGTGAAGAGATCTGATGCTCTCACTGAGCACCTGGACCATAGTACTACTGGCTGCACTTACTCTGCAGTGTAGGCATTGGATACGGTACTGCTGTAAATGCATCGTGGAACTGACGCCCTTCTTGATGCTGTTCTCCAGTTGCTCAAAGGTTCAATAGAACCAACTTTTACTGTCATTCCTTGGAATTATTCTGGCTTGAAGAGATTCGCCTTCGGCCTGTGCTGCCTTGTCTTTGCTTTATAACCTATCACACTGTGGTGTTATAACATCCATCTGCCGAGATAATCTTTATTTCCATCTTTCCTGAACAGCATGTACCTTTCAAGGATTTGCAGAGCACAGGTAAATAGAGTAGCTTTTAGGACAGTGTTTTTGTTACACCTTTCAAGTTTTTTTTATTCTGCCCTAGTGGAGGCTGAGTAGCCATTTCTCCAGCTTTTCTTAACCTTATTTCCTGCCTTAGGCTGGCAGGGAATAGAGGTGTGTACTTTCACAATAATTACATGGGGTTTCTCATGCTGAATTTTACTGTGGGATTCCAACCCTAATAATTCTTTTTAAAAAAAATTTTAAAGGATTGCTTTCCAAATGTGCCAAAAAAAAAAAAAAAAAGGCAGTAAAATCTTCCCCTCTAAACCTGTTTGTCTTGTCTGAGGAGCAGGTATTTCAGGGTCTTCATTAGGAATATCTGAGCTCTACAAATTCCATGCTAATGTCTGCCTCTGCTCTGGTTGAAGCCAGTGCTCTTAGCATGTTCACCACATGTTCACCACCTTCCCTGTCTGAGATGTGGCAGAGACAGCAACCTCCTTGGGTTTTCCCCATCCTTTATTGTGTATTCCACTATCCATCTGCTATGAATCACTCATAAACCTAGCCTAATCATGACAAATATGTGAAGAACTAATTTGTTGTTCATAGGATGAGATGAATTATGTTGAATAATGAAGGCACTGATGCCACTAACTTGGTTTGATTTGTATATGTTTAGACACATTTAAAGTCAATGGAGAAGTATTTGCAACTTGGAAAGCTCAAATGTTTCCTGGTTATTATCTTCCCTTTTGTAATAATCAAATTCATTTGCAACTAACCACAACAAAGCAACCCAATAACAAAAGATTTATATTGTGTTGGCAGTTGAAATGGTCATTTGATTTCCAATGGGAGTCTCTTGACGGGTAGATCCTCAGCAGTGCTCATTTTCAGGTCTACCTATTTATGCAATCTGTATGATTTACCATGCCACAGAGAAGAGTCTATTACAGCTTCTGCAAGTAAAGTAGATGCTACATTAGATAGCCAAGTTTCCTAGAGCTATTAGCCATATAAATACAAGATGAATTGTTTTCCTTGCGTTAGGAAATCAAGGTGAGACTGCTACAAACAATAACAATATATCAATGTCTTTAGTTTTCTATTAAGCTCCATTTGCCTGCAGCTCTTCCAGCTGAGGGCAGAGTAGGTTGACCAGCTCAAGGAAGTAACATTTCTAACATCCCAATTCAAAAGGGTACAGGGCCATATTGTGGAAAAGAAGCTTGTATATTATAATGTTTTCTTGAATCAAGAACTTGATGTCAATCATGCTTTTC